AAAGTAATGGATGTTTAAAACTCATTAAAGAAAGAGTTGTGCGTTAAACAGGATAAAGCTGTGGTTCACTGATTAGAGACAGTTGTGTTTTTTGATAAGTGATAGACCTACACTCTCTTTAGAGAGATAGCTGCGCTATAATATGAGAGAGAGCTGTGTTTTGATTAGGTAGAAAGTTGCGCTTTTATTAGGAATTGAGCTGTGTTTTGATTGAAGAGGGAGCTGGGCTTTGGTGAGAAAGTGGACCTGTGCATTAATTAGTACTTCGATTGGAGAAAAGGCTACACTTTGATTAGAGAAAGAGTTGCACTTTGATTAGGGAAAGAGTAGTGCTATAATTACATAGAGAGCCGCGCCTTTTATTAGAGAGAGAGTTTTGCTTTAATTGTAAAAAGAGGGAGTCGCACTTTTTACTAGAAAGAGTGTCGCGCTTTGACTAGAGGTAGAGCTGCGCCTTGATTATAGAGAGATCTCCGCTTTTATTTGAAAGATAGTTGCGCTTCATCAAAAAGACAGAGCTGCGCTTTATTCGGAGAGAAAGCTGCGCCTTTAGTTAGAGAGAGAAGGCTGTACTTTAATAGGGAAGAGAGGTGCGCTTTTATCAGAGAGCGAGTTGCGCTTTGATTAGAGAGAGAGGGCTGCACTTTGACTGGAGATGAGCTGCGCTTTTATTAGGGAGAGATCTGCACTTAGATTAGGGAGAGATGTGCGCTTCAATTAGGGAGAGAGCTGTACTTTGATTAGAGAGAGAGCTTTGCTTTGATTAGATAGAGAGCTGCTTATTGACTAAGTTGAGAGCTTTGCTTTGAATAAGGCGAGAGCTGCGCTTTGATGAGTGAGGCAACTGTCCTTTGATTATGTATAGAGATGTGCTTTGATTAGGTAGACAGCTATGCTTTAATTATGTATAGAGCTGCGCTTTGTTTATGAAGAGAACCGTGCTATGATTAGGGAGAAAGCGGCGCTTCGATCAGAGGAGAGTTACATTTGGTGTAGGGAGAAAGCTTCACTTTCTAAATAGGGGAGTGAGCTGTACTTTGATTAGGGAGTGAGCTGTGCTTTAATAAGAGAGAGATCTGTGGTTAGGGTTAGGTTTCCTAGATAGGCGCCCTTTTTATGTGAAGTAATATCTCCTGGCTAAGTAAGGGAAGGCTATTGTGAATTCTAGAGAAGTGCTGTTGTCAACGAGGACTGTCACAAAACCTTTGTTTGAGAGCACTATAGGTTAAGGAGATAGCTTAGTGCTTTGTTACGCCGATTGTGCAGCCCATACAGGTGTAAGTCAAAATAGCGAGGGACCAGTGGAAATCTAAAAAAGAATGAAATGAAAAGAACATGTTTGGATTTAAACCAATTGATTTGGACTACAACTTCACTACTTTGGCCTAGTTGATTTGGATTAATACAGGTCAACACTGACAAGCAAAGGGGGACGGTTTCTAATTATAAGAACATACGTAATAACAAAATTTTGATCATTTTCTTTCAGTGCATTTGCAAGAAATCTTCCCACCCTATCTACTCTTCATGAGTTTTGCGCCAATGTTCTTTTTCTCGTGTGAGCGGTTGATGATCAATTGATTGATTATTAATTGATTGATATATGTTTAGATATCGCGAGATTATGAATTCGAACTGTTTATATTCTCTTGCTAGATATGGTAATCGATATCAGTTAACCGATTTGCTTTCTTTTTTTAGAGCAGTTTGTAGGCGATACGACGAGCCAACAATCTTTTTCCTTGACAGAAATCTTTTTCCTGGACAGCAATCTTCGACGGAAAAGAGATACTGCAGATGTCATTTTCCCCGGGAGATTTCTGTTCCTTTAAAAGTACCCGATACAGATCTTCAGTAGAAGAAAAATATGGCTGAGGAGGCATCTTCTGATGCTTCCATGGAATGTAGCCAGGAAGCAGGGGTGTATTCATGTCCTCAAGACAGCCGCAAATCGGAATTCCTTTATCAAAAAAGAGTGACTTAGTACGCTGAAAGGGGTCCAGATGCAGCTGATTTGCAAGTAGCTCGGGAGGATAGTAATTTTAGCGAGGCAAAGGAGACTGTCGAATCAATACAACTGTGCTTACCGGCAAAAGGTCATCATGATATTTACTGTCTCTTTAGTTTAGCAGACTAAGAAAGGGAAGGAGAGTACGAATGAACAGAAACTTGCTCTCAATCGTCAGTTACTTGTTATCTTATTTATATAAATGGACGTATAGTTATTAAAATTATTTCGTGTTTTTGTTGTTGTTCCTCGAAGATTACACCAATATTTACCCTCACTGTCGGTCATCACATCAGTAATGAAATTCATTCATCTCGTAGCCAACTTTAGCATAATAACTAAGGTGAGGCCATTCAAACTACTAATTTTTTAACGCGGGAATTTTTTTCCTCGAATTTAACGACTCATTTTATCATTATTATTATCTCACTTTTGGTTGCTACATGTGTATTTTTATGCATCCTCAACAAGTTGAGTTGCTGAAATGAAGAGCAATCCTGATTCTTTTTCTCGCCTTAATTCAAGTGAGCGACGTTATATAAGAGGAGTATAAAGGAACAATTGTAAAAAGAAAATTCAAACAATTGATGGAAATGTGCATATTTGATGAAATAATTACCACTTTTCCATTGTATTCAGGTAATCTGTAGATACCTGGCGTTACGCTGCGTTACTTTGATATTTACTTACTTGAAGGTCAAAAGCCTACAATATCTCGCCTCTCTGTGTATTCATTTCCTACCTACAGAAAATGAGTTCGCAAAATAACAGATAAAAATTGACATCATGGAATCAAGTAACAAGTAGCTCACTGAGGTGGAAGTATACCAGCTTCTCTCGAATGTGGCCGTTTCGTCAGATCAACTGTTAAATGGATTGTGCTTTGTTTACACACTTTGCATCATTTTGCTGGCTCAAGTCAAGAACACTTCTGATATTTCCGAAGGGAAGTACTGCGATTCGGAGCACCAAATTTTGCACGGTGGATATGAAATAGCAATACTGCATGAATATAAAGTTAAAACAGAAAAAATAGATACCAGGTACATTGTTATAGCGTGAAATATCACCCATTTTTCGTATAAGAGGTATGTGAGGATGTTCTTTAGAGGGCCTAGATGATCATGATATGTCAAAAAAAAGGAACGTATTAGAGATGGATAAGAATAGCTGTCCTCATATCATGCGGAGTTTGGTGCAGATTGTTTTCATTCTAAGTCCTCAATGGGGCTTGGTTGTAGCAGTTAATTTTTAATGGTGCGTTATGCGGAGACTCCTTCACTGGATAACCGGAAAACCACTTTTTCAAGATTTTCGCAAATTTATGAAAATTTAAAGATCGCTGGAACTTCAAAGCTTAACCTTTGAAAATAGTTTTCCAAAGGGTATCTTTGGGCAAAAAAGGAACAATTTTCCAAAATAATCGGCGTTGACGGGTGATTCTCGATCCTGACAGGCAGCCACTCTTAAATAATCTGCTCAAATGTAAGAAAGAAGTAATATTGGTTTTATGTAAGTTTTCTGACAGCGACACTCGAATCTCCCGTTTTTTTTTTTCAGGATCCAAACGATTGAAATTATTGTGCTAGTCCAGATGCACTAGCTGCTCCTCTTTACATATCAGAAGTAATAACAGGACCAGCAAAAAGTGAAGCATTGCTTTTATCACTTAGACGACTGCCAAGTTACTGGATCCAGCCTTTGTGCAACGCCCCCTATCCTCTGACAATCTCTCTGGTTTCTTAAAGAGGGCAATCGTGTTGTACAGGCCTGCTGAAGATTACCGAGGATAGGAGAGAAGAATTAGATGAGAAAAAATAGTTACTGCGGTGTCTATAGATTTAATTTGAGTAAGGTCCTTGACACTATATGCCATCGCCTCCTGTTGAGAAACTTGAAGGCATAGGGGATTCTGCGACACCCTTTTTAATTGATCCGCTCTTGTCTTATTGATCGCAGGCAACGAGTTGAAATAAGGAACACTTGCTCGGGTCCCCCATCCCCCATC